GAACATACTGCACATGTGAGGATGAAAGTTCACGTGTTAGGGAGCATTTTGAGAGCATCCTCGCACGAATACTGCTGCTCAGCCCCAAGTGGAATTAGTTGAGAATTATCTGACATGTATACCGCGGATTGCGTGTCGCGTCCTGTGCAGTGCAAAGAGCATCTATCCGCTGTCGCATATATATATATATGTATATATGCATATAATGTATGTATATGGGATAATAGTTTTTTTTCAAATAAAGATAATAGAAGCACTCGCACAACAAAAGCAACATCGCCATCTTCCGAGGTTTCCCATGCAGGCTTGTTCAAAAGTTTTCTGTCGGCTCGTAGACATTATATGATAAAGCTCAGCTAAAAAAAAAAAAACATACAGTCAACCCATTCACAAGTGACTTAATTCGTGCAACAGACTAGTCTGCTGTGTGAGAAGTCTGTTATGCGAATGAAATTATTCAAAAATTGGCATTTAAATTTTTACTACAGTATTTATTTTAAAAAAACAGAAGGCTGTTATGCAGGTTTAGTCTGTTGTGCGGGAGAGAAACCTGCCTCCAGAGGCGGCCTGTTGTGTGAACATCTATTGTGCAGGGTGTCCGTTGTGCGGGGGTCAACTGCATTATGAATACGGTTGTGGATTTTTCTCACGTATCATCAAAATTTTCAAGAAATTTGCATGTTGCGCAACTTGCACTTGTGCCTTGCTCATTGTGGTGAAATAAATTAAATTATTAATGCTTCCAAAAGAACATACGGTCAACCCCTCCATAAGTGACTCAATTTGTGCAACAGACTAGTCTGTTGAGTGAAAAGTCTGTTATGCGAATTCCATTAGTAAAAACTTCACGTTTTCATTTTTTACTGTTAATTTAAAAAAAAGTAGAAGTCTGTTATGCGGATTTAGTCCGTTCATAACCTCCTTTTGGACGGAGGTCTCCGCCAGATAACACACTTTTATATAACAAGTCCTACAGGGAACAGGCCCCCAGTTGACATAATACTTATGCAAACACCTAAAAAGAGTGTAGTAGTTTTAACTCAAGAAATTGACCGCATTTCTTTGGACCCAACATTGACCGCATTTCTTTGGACCCAACATATACGAAGAGGGCAAAATAAAAATCGCTGTATGAACAGGACGAATTTTCGGGCAATTTTAAGCTTTTGTTCTGTTTAGCTTTACAATTGTGATCAGTATTGGAGGAAAACCTGCCTCCAGAGGCGGTCTATTGTGTGAAAATATATTGTTCAGGATGTCCCTTGTCCGGGGGTCAACTGTATTATGAATACGTTTGTGGATTTTTCTCACATCATCAAAATTTTCAAGAAATTTGTATGTTACGCAACTGCACTGGTGCCTTGTTCATTGTGGTGAAATAAATTAAATTATTGATGCTCCAATCCTGGAAAAGAATGGAAGAGCTCATCACCTCATCAAAATTGCACTACCTGGTGCTGCAATAAGGTCTTTCACTGCAGTTTCTATCAGATAATCACAGGCCTTCAAAGAACATACAATGGTTATCCAGTACTAGATTTAAGGATTCAAGATGTAAAATATGAAGAAAAAAAAACTCTTATTTTTCTTTTTCATTTTTAGATCATTTCTACGTGTGCGTTCAAGCAGATTGGTAATCAATTAACTGTGGAAGAGCTTACTCAGTTGATGTATTTTTTGAACATGTTTCTTGGGAAAATTTGAAATATATTCTCATATTTTCTAACGATAGGAATCCAAAAAGGATTTCTGGCCTCACCCCATCAGGCAGATTGCTGTATTTCATGCTTTTCATTTTTCATTACTGAGAGATTCAGCCGTCATCTACAATATTTTCTTTTAGGGAACCTTCTTCCCCCAACAGTTTAATATAATAAAAAGCAGCATGGATAAGAGTTGCCATGCCCTCTTTTTTTAAATTCCTTTTACACAGTACAGCAATTATCTAAATATTGTTGATTCTGGGCTATTTACAACTCATCATCAATTCTGCACAGTTTTGATCCTGATTGAATCCAATATTTTAATTGCTGAAAATGTATGTAAAAAGTCAGACGGGTCACGAAATACAATTGAACCTCGATAAATCGAAGCTCTCTAATAGTTGGATGCCTATCCCAAAGTTTCAAATCACAGCAAACACCAATGAATAATCGATACAAAAGATTTTGAGTTTGTGAATCATGGCAGGCTGAGAATGTCACCAAGTTTTAAAATACGATACGATGGTTGGACGGGATCAAAAGCTTCGAAATGTCCGGATTTTCCTCGCCAGTGCAGCAAAATTCTGGCAATATTTCAAAAGATTTCTCCGTACATAACCAGGGGCATAAATTCGTACATAAAATAAACATAAACAGAAAATGATATGTGCTTCTGCGAAGTATGTGTGGGGAAACATTTTTAATTTAAACTCCACCCGCTGAGCGAAACGCTGCGGGGCATTGGTGGAAGTTTCCCCGGATTTTCTCATATTTTTCCATCGAATAATAAGAAGAGAAAAAATGAAAAATAAATAAATAAAAGAGGAACGAAAAACTGAAAAATACAAGCTTTATATGTTCAGTATTTCTGCATAATTTTCTATTCCATCTTCTTATGTATCTTCCGCGTGGGTTCCGGATTAAAGGCCCGTATTTGCGTTGAGATTTATATATTCGACAGCCTTGAGTCGAAAATGCCGTTCTTGGTTTTTAAATATGTACAGTACCTGTGACGTCAGTGAAGAATTCTTCATTCCGTTGGGCGAATGCTTTTGATTGCATACAAAATTTTCTTTTTGGGTCGCCGTTACGGATTCGAAATTCTTGAAATATTCAGAAATACGACCCACCCGTTTGGATTGAATGTCTCAGCGGTACCTTATTTCGCCTCGAATGTTCCTGCTGGTCACTAAATATTTAAAACATTGGGCAAAACATAACTTCGACGTCACAAAAGAATTCCTATGTCAATTATTATCCTAAGAAGAGTGTGACCAACATTGACCGCATTTCTTTGGACCCAACATATACGAAGAGGGCAAAATAAAAATCGCTGTATGAACAGGACGAATTTTCGGGCAATTTTAAGCTTTTGTTCTGTTTAGCTTTACAATTGTGATCTCAGGCCATGTATACTGTAAAAGCACGGCAAAAATATCACTTGGGAATCCAACTAGAAAATTCTGTCTGTATATTATTGACTCTATCGCAAGCCAGACAAATGTTCGATTTCCTGAGTGATCATAGGCTTCAGACTCGAATGAATGATCATCATGTTCTATTTCCCAACAGCACATGGGAATTTTCTCTTCTACGATCATGTTCGTGTCTTTCCTACAGCATTTTTGTGTTTGTTCTGGCAGGTGTTATCATAAGCATTAGACCTGCAAGTTTTGTGTTCGCGTCGCAAAGCAAGCGAAGTTTTGCGAAAAATATACCATTGCTATCTTTTGTGTGAAACTTTTAATGCGGAGACGCAAAAGAAACAAGATTTTTGCAGGGAAACGGAGGCGTTTTGGAAACTTTTTTCTTCTGGGGATCTCGTTGTTCTTTTAGTTGACAGATCCAGTACGATGAAATGTTCATCTAATTTTCTGAATGAAATACGTCAAGCATGAAAAATGATACTTTTGGAGTTATACAGTACAATAATAGGAAATTCTCGAATTTCATGAAATTTGATTAAAAACAGAACGGTGTGAACCCACGAATGACGAATGTTTTAAATTTTGTACGTGATTTTTCACTTTTGAACGTGAAAAAAGCGACCCATTTTGAAATATTAACATCTGATCTCGTAAGAATACAGGAGTATAGAAATTTCTTATTCAAACTGACGCAATTTATTAAGTGAAACATTCCACGTAACAGAAATATGGCCATTCCTCAGTCGGTAAAAATACTAATGCGTGGAAAAAATAAGGCTTTCTACATTTTTTCTGAAGAATCCAATGGATTTTTTTCTCTAAGAAGGCTGTATAAGAAACCGGTGCACTAAAAGTGACATACAGAAAATTATTATTATGTTCAATATGAATTTTTGCGGGACTAGCAAGACTGAAAAATATATGGTTCATTTATTTTTGACACCAGCATGTACAATAATCGTATTAACCCAAAAGACTGCTCAGAGTCACAACACGTAAGAAAAAGGTTGAGAATTGGATAATTTCCAGTAATTACATGCTTGGTACGTCATGCCCAGCAGAAAATAGTTGGATGTGTATATTATATGTGTTTTTTTTACCGCAACATAAGCACAGTTATTCTTCGTTGAGGAAAAATTTATGGGTGCATTTCTGGAAAAGTTCGTAACTAATTCAACAATGCGTTTTTTAAGGTCGCCGTAAACATAATGCGACTGCTGCTCACAGTGGATTCTCGTCACGAACCGTCGTTTTCCATGGTATTTTTTTGCTTCCACTGCCTTTTTTCAGCATCATTTCTTCCTTTTCACGCAGGAAAAGATGCTCAGAAAATTTTGTAAAAGGCAGTTGGAAATTGGGTTTCCATAGAGCGCAATAAATTTTTATTTCGATTATTCACCAGGAAGCCTATTACTGGAAATTAATGTATAGAATAATACTGTCAAATTATTCTTGCTTGAAAATATTCCAGAGCAGGCCTCAAAGTAATCATTCAAAATTTTCAACAGAACTTGCATCAGCAGTGTACTTTCTGCTCACCGACAAGAATTAGGATTCAGTTGAGACAGACTCACGCTCTCTGCGAACTTCCGAATTTTCGCTCCTATTTTGTGCAAAAAAAGGATTGTTTTCCTACGAAGAAAATTGCGACTGAAACGGTTCAAGAAGACGTGAGCTGCATAACAAATCTTCCAACTCGTCTGCGGAAAAAATAACAAATTGCAAGTCTTCCAGCAGTGGGAAAAGAGGGCGGAAAACCGCAAAAAAAAAAAAAAGAGGACAGGACAATTTCTCCTCCATTTTCTGGAGATTTACCGAGGCTGTAATAAGCATAATTCTGTCCTTCACTTTATGTAACAGGTTCACTTACCCAGAAATTGTTTTCCTTCTTCTGTCTCTGAATGGATGGTTAAATCCCCAGAGATGGATGAATTATTGGAGCTTTGCAATCCCGGAAGGACTCGTCTAGCTCTCGTCCTTGTGCAGATTCGATTCGCCGAAATGCCGCAAGCATCAATAAGGTAAAACTTCGCGGTTCCGAAAACGTATGGAAAGGAAAAAAGTTGGGAAACTAAAACTCGACACTAAACGACGAGCCTGAAAAATATGAAATGTCATTTAAAAGAAGAGCACAAATATCATGAAAAAAAAATTGCCAAGGCGGGTTATAAAAATTACCGCAAGACGTTTGCCTTGAAGGTTTATACATGGAAGAGCATCGATTCAGAAAGCTTCAAATTGTATGTTTTGGGCATGTTTGATGGACGTTCATAATGTTGGAACAGAAAATACGGTAAAATGGAAGAAAAAGGCTTAACTTCTTGAAAAAATAAAGTTATGCTCCATGCGAAAAAATTCTGTCCCAAACATATACTGTATATGTTTACAGTATCAAGAGTTCGGTGTTTCGAACGCGTTTTCACATGCAAATAAAATGCTGAAAAAATGTATGCACATTGACTCGACCTTGAAAATTGTCGAAATTGAAAGCTTGAAAATGCTCCATATACAGTAATGTAAAGAGGGTCTCAAATCTCAAATCATGCGGCACAAATTCCAGCCACATTCTTCCAAATATTTCCATACAAAACTCCCTGGTAAACATCATTAGTCAAATCACTCGAGTGTAATGGAAGTTTAAAAAAAATCTGCATTTTTGTTGAAAGAACAATTTTCCGAGACCAATAATCATGTATGGGTAAATTATAATTTCTATGTTCAGACAAATCACATTCCGGTTTCACGTGCTTTTTGTATTGTCCAGAAAAGTTTTCATTCATAAACATTTGAGAAAATTCAGGAATTAAAGCTTCTCATTTTTGAAATTTCGGCATGAAAAGAACGACCGATAGAAATTTGAAAATCAGTGTTTCCTATGGTTATATTTCCTACCATTATTTAGCCTTACGGTATTTTGAAAGAATTTCGAGAATATTGAAGATAATCTTGCAAACTGATAAATAGAATGACTGCCATTTTTTGCGTTCTAGACTGCTTCAAAAGTTGAGGAAAGCGCGTAAAATCTTGGTTAATTCTCTTTTCAGTCAATCAATTTCACACATTCCATGCTTATTAAAAACGAGTTCCTCAATCCCCATAGAAAATGCCGCGCACTTTTACGAAAACTACGCATTTCAGTCATGTCAAAAGCGTTCTTATTTTCAATTCCCTTTGTAACGTGTCACTGAAATCAGAAGCAGAATCAAGCGTTTTCCTGTGATGTTTTCGTCGAGAAAAAGGAGGGAAAAGGGGAATAATCGGAAAATCGCGTGTTCGGAAGCATTGAAGAGGGTATTGTTAATAATTTATCCATGGTGAACATCTTCAGGTTTGACTCGCTTTTCTCGTAGGTTTCAAAAAATGTTTCCTGTGACCGAAGCCGAAATCGGAAATGAAAACTCGTTCTTGGAAATAAAAAGCATCATTGAACTCTGATGAAAAGGCCGACAGAAAGAATAAAATCATTGTCGACTCGAATCAATCATACGAGTATCATACTCCGATTTTAGACCCGAATTATATTTTTCCAAGGAAATCCCACTCATGCTACGACAAATCTTTCAAGAGCTGGAACATCAAGAAATTTATTGAAAAGGAAATTTTTTTCTAAATTTATTTTGTGGACATCGACAGCGAATGAATAAAAATGAATAAAAATTTATTCGTCAACCACTCGGCTATTTTTGATTGATTATTTTCGTCATCTCGTGTTGAACCAAGGTTTCGGTCTTCTGCATGTAATGCAAGAAAAAAGCAGAGAAATCTGTAGAAAATGTGGGCATCAGATTGTTAGGTCGATCTTGAAGTTTTGCAGCTCTCGAAAGTTTTCTCGGAGACTCCCGGATTCCCTATGCATTATATTGAGACAAAAAACCATATACGCAACACGTATTCCCTTAGATTATGCTCCAATGCAATTCCATCTTGTACTTACTATTATACTCAGAATTTCCGAAAATACACATTTCGACAGGTTCTCTTAAATTTAAATTCCTGTGTCTTTGTCCATAGAAAGGGTAATGGGTTTTCCCTCTGTATTCTAAAACAGGGTTCCTCAATCTTTTTAGGCCCACGGACCAGCAGATTTCCATCAAAGTTTTATAAAAACAGACTGGCTAAGTTTCATAAAATTTTGTAGTTCAAAGGAATTTATGGCAGTTATTAAAAAAAAAATGTTCTTTTTTTTTTACAAAAATTAGGTTAAAAATCAGCAATTAATTTTAGCTATTGTCTTCGAAGAAGTTTAAAATGTGGGGTTGAAGAAGAGTTTCTTAGAATGAAAAATTAAAATTGTTTATTTGAGTATGGGCAAAAATGTGTCTGAAGCGTAATTAAGAGAAAAGCCAACTTTTATTGTTCATCAGATAATATCAACTGCCATTTTCTTTCTGAAATTTTGAATAAAGATAATAGACTTCAATAATACCTTCGAATAACGTACTGTACCATGTTGAAGCAAACCGGAGCCGGTCCTGGGTTGGGGAACACTGGTCTAAAAGATACTGTACCAAATCAATGCTCTAAAGTATTTCCTCGTCAAGCAATATTTTGATCCAGTTACCAGACTGGAATGTTGTAACCTGGTTTTCGTGCCTGTAAGGTTTTACTTCTTAAAGATGAGTTTTATCAAGCCTTACACCTTGATTCTGTCAGCAGAGTAAAGTTTGTAGTGTTTTGATAATAGGTGATCAATAAAATTGAACGCAGCAATTGGCCGGGCGCAAACCAGCCTGGGATTTCTCCCCTCTAGCGCAGACCTTTCTTTGATACACACACACACACACACAAAGTTAATTACACACCCAGTTTGTACAAAAAATGAGGTATGCACACTCAGACACACAGAAAATCAACAGCAATCAAAACAATCCGAGTTGTAGGATTTCAAGTGGTCCAGAAGTGGACTTGAGTTCCTTTAAGATTAGTATTTCGTAACAATTTCAAGTTCCCGATCTCATAAGGTATTTGTACACGGTTTAGAAGGGACAAATTAAGACAGACGAGTTCCATTCTCGACAAAAGTAGATTAAAACTGAGGGAGAGGCAAAGTACCAAAGCTTTTGATTTTGCAATGTTCCAAAATCACCCTGACAGTGGAGAATTTTCTAAGTACCGAATTTCAATTTCAAGAACACAACTTCAGCAGTTTGATCTTCTAAACTTGACTGTGTTTGTTACCCAATTTTCTGGGGTTTATATACAAATTTTGCACCAATTTTTGGCGGGTCTTCCTTGTTGCGCAGATGCAAAAACACCAGGTGGCAACATTTGCTGTTTTCGCAGAGGTTTCATAAATGTGTATTTTTCCCAAAAACCAGTTGGACATTTTACAATCTTTCAACCATTCCTTAAATTAGTTTTCTGCTGGAAAACATGGTTCTTGACAGTTTGCAAAGTTGTTAAAACTATAAAGTTGCCAGTTGGGCATTTCTAAGCTCAAGTTTTTTGACAGCTCAAGCAGTCCCAAATTCGGGAGACAAATTGTTTTACGATATAGGAGACGAGATTTTTTGTCTCTTCCTTGACAGCTGGTTTGTGTTTTCTGCGAAGTCTTGAGGGGTCAAATGACCCCGAGTTTTTCAGAGGAGTTGATGTCCCCCTGTCAAAAGGAGGCGCCGACTTTTTTGGCGATTTGTTTTATCCCGTTTCCAGGGATTGCTCTTCTTTTCTGGCCTCGAAGGCTTTTGTTCTGCCAATTCGTTTTGCATTTTATTTCAGGACACCCCTTTTGTAGGAATCAGTTTAACTTTTGTTTGTGTCGGCGCATCCCGGTGATGCGCCAATTGGATTACAGTTTCGGCTTTGATTTGGCGCCTTGTTTCACAGTGGGGCTGCAAGAAAATTCCGCACAGTGCCTGGACTTGTTGTTGATGAAAGATGGCATTTTTCTGACCTGCCTGTATCCATAAAAATCGCAGGGAAGTTGTGTTGCTGTGCTGCTCAGTGAATTCTATACACTTATTGGCAGATGAACAGCTGGTTATGAAAAACTGACTGAAACCCTTCTTGGTGAGCCTTTATTTTGATGAAAAAGCCCTGATAGCCTTTAGAAGCATGTACAGCTAATCATAATCTTGAAGTTGGATTTGTTATAGAGTTTTATTTCTATTTTAGCAAAGATTAAGACGCTCTCTTCCAGATGCAACGCAAATAAGGAGTAGAGTTTATCCTTTGCCATTTCCGAAATTATAATTTAATATAAAAACTGTTGCTCTAGATCCACTGATAGGATTAGGTGACATTTTTTGCACTTTGATAATATCTGATCCAAATTAAGTAATTCAAGTTTCCAAAGAATTTCTGACGTATATCTCTTGATTTATACCAAAAGAAGCCACTGTAATACAAACTATCGGTGAATTATTTTATTTATGAATATTCCACGTACGTTTAGGTTTTCCTCAAAATTTGATCATGAAAAATCTGGACCATGGCCTATACTTGATGACAGGGCTTACTGGGGCTCTAAAGCAATTACTTTGCAGGTACAATATAACAAAAGTATGTTACGCGTCTTACACAGATTGGTTTGCTCAAACGAATACGATAAATTACTAACTTTCAGAATAATTTCAAATGAAGCGAGCAAAATATACAAGACAGAAAAGTTGGTATCGCTCATTGATCAAGCTTTTTGACGGGGATCTTCGTCGAAAGTAATTTCATTGTAATCTCCAAGAATTAACACATTTTTGCGGATTCGGAAAATCCGCAATTCTTCCATTCTTCGTCCACTGCGATTGCGTGCACACTTGTGCTTCGTACAATAAATACACCTTCCAGAAAAATTTCAATACCATGAACACACATTTAAGACCCACACAATAAAATGCTTTCCGCATAACCTACTCTCTTAAAAAAAAGAACTTCCAATCATGAATTGTTTTGCCCATAAATCACAAAACCCCGAAATCGTTTTCACACGAAATATCAAAGCAATAGCATTAGAATTGTCTATCTTTCATAACTTTCGAACGATTTTTTCTTCTCTCTTGTTTCTTTCTTGTTTTGCTCTCAAATTTTTTTCGGTTCACTAATGTCTCATTCGATCTTTAGTGATTATACTATATATAGAAACTGGTTCATTGGCCAGAGTAATAGAAATAAAATCG